ACCCCCCCACCACCACACACACACACACACACCCACACCCACACCCACACCTAGCGGTCCTCCAGGCATGCACCCTCCCCCGCCATCCATCATGAAGATTTTGACATGAAACATTAGGGGTTTGGGCAAACCCCAGAAACGTATAAATGTCCTCAACAATGTTTCCTTAGACTCTCTTGCCATCCTGGCTCTAATAGAAACTAAATTCCTCGCCACATGTCTCCCTCCTATTTGTCGAGTCTGAGGGTCAAGACCTTGCCATTGGATGCCCAACGGGCCTTTGGAGGTATCTAGGTAATCTAGGATCCAACCCTCCACAATATCACTTCTTCAACCGTAGGTGCCTTCTCAGCCTCCATCTCCCTTGAGAGAGTGGCCAACGCCTTCCCTTGGAAATTTACAGCTGTATATGGTCTCAATGCTTCCTCTCTCAGACCCCGTTTCTAGGAGGAATCGAATAGGGATGCTCTAGCTTCCCCCCATTGTTGGTTTGGTGGGGATTTCAACATCACCCAATGGTCATTCGAGCGAAACTCCAATTCCTTCATATCCCAATCAATGGCGGACTTTTTTTACCTCATGTTGCGGTTAGAATTACTCAACGTTCCACTACAAGGGGCCTCTTTTACTTGGTCGGACCATTCTGCCAACCCCACCCACTCTAAGTTTGATAGGTACCTCATTTCCTTGGATTGGGATGATGCCTTCCTAAGGACCCATTGACTCGCCCTCCCCAAACCCATATCCAACCACTGCTCAATCTTCCTCGACACCTTCCCTGCCCCTCGCACCTCCAAACCTTTCAGGTTTGAGTTGGCTTAACTAGAGGAACATAATCTTCCCTACCTCATTCACTTCTGGTGGACCTCTTTCTCAAACCAAATCCATAGTTGGGCAGGGTACCACCTCCAAAGAAAGCTTCAGCAGCTCAAGGGTTCCCTTAAAGCCTGGAGTGCTCAACTTTCGGGCAATTTTCGCACCCCAAAAGCATCCCTCCTCCACGATATTCAATAGTGGGATTCCACTGAGGAGCATCGCCCTCTCTCTCGGCTGATGAGAGAATGGCTCGATCCCTTGGCAAAGTTTGAGTTCCAACACTTTCTTAGGAAGGAGGAGATATATTGGTCACAGTGTTCCAGAGTTAAATGGCTTAAACACGGTGATCTCAGCACTGAATTTTTCCACAAAATAGCCAACTAGATGAGGGACAACATCATCACCCAGATTAAAGTTGGGGAAGTAGTGCTCGACCAGGCACCTCAGGTTGAGAATGCCATTATAGACTACTTTCATAACCTTTTTGAGGCTTCCCGGGGGAGCTCAAGACCCACCATGGCAGACCTGATCGTTCAAACCATTCCCCCAAACTTGGCAGCTTGGCTAGAACGCTTCTTCGAGGAGGCCGAGATCCTTAAGGCCATCTTTGACCTTGGCCAAGATAGAGCCCCAGGAACTGACGGATTCACAGTAGTCCTATTTAAAACCTTTTGGGACTCTTTTAGGGGGGATTGCTTCGTCTTCTTCCAAGAATTCCATGCCAGAGGGATCATCCATCGAGCAACGAATTCTACTTTCATCGCACTATATCAATAAAGATAAAAGAGGCCAAAGAACTCAAAGACTTCAAGCTGATTAGTCTCATCAACAGCTCATACAAATACTCTCCAAAGTCATCGCTTCAAGGCTGCAAGAGGTTCTTGGCTGGGTGATCTCTCACCCAGGGAGTTTTCATTAAAGATAGACAAATCCTCGATGGCACCTTTGTAGCAAATGAGGCCATCCATTCTAGGCATCTCGCCAAATCCCCTGGTCTAATCATCAAACTCGACTGAGAGAAACCTACGACCACGTAGACTGGTCCATCCTAAACGAAACCCTTCTTCGTATGGGATTTGGGGCCCGGTGGAGGACCTGGATTAGAGGCCCTTTCTCCATTCTGATCAACAATTCTCCAAAAGGCTTCTTCCCCTCCTCTAGGGGGCTCCGCCAAGGAGCCCCCTCTCCCCATTCTTGTTCGCAATTGATGCTGAAATCTTCAGCAAATTGATCTCGAGAATGTACCAAGCCAGCTTGCTCAAAGGTCTCAAAATCAGCCCTTCAGGTCCACAGATTTCCCACCTACAATATACCGATGACACCCTGCTATTTTGCGAAACCTCCACCGAACAGCTAGAGTCCCTCCACCTCGTCCTCAAAATGTTCGAGATGGGCATGGGCCTAAGGGTGAATATGGCCCAATCAAAGCTGCTCGGTGTGGCTATGGACCCTTCTCTAGTTAGAACTCTAGCCTCTCAATGGGGTTGCTCTTCCGATGGGTTGCCTTCCTCTATTTGGGCCTACCATTATGCCTTGGCAAACCTAGACTCAACCTTTGGAGCCACATTATAGATAAATTCGACTAAAGGTTGGTGGGTTGGAAAGGTAGATTCCTATCATCGGCAGGTCATCTTACCCTCATCAAAACCACCCTCTCTAGCATCCCTATTTTTCAGATGTCTATTCCATATGCCGTCCTCGGTGGCCCAACTCGTGAGTAACTTCCTATGGTTGAGCAATGGGGGTAAGAAAATCCATCTTACTTCATGGCCTAATGTCTGCAAACCCAAGTCCCAAGGGTAAGCTTCTTGGTGGCTTCCTTATACTCATCCTTAGCCCACCCCCAAACCCTCAACCCCCCAGCCATTCCCATTGTGACCGAAGTTGGGCTTCCCTGGTTCCACCAAAAATCCAGTTTTTCAGCTGAATTGTTGCTTCCAAGAGAGCCCTCACAATGGATCTACTGCAAAGGAGGGGGATCCAAATCCCCAACAGGTGCATCATGTGTCTCAAAGAAGAGGAAAGCAACACCCACCTCTATATCCATTGCAAGTTGCCTCTTCCCTTTGGGCTGACCTCCTTCAACTCTTCCATTGGCAGTGGGTAACCCCACCCAATGTTCCGCAACTCTTTCGCATAGCCTTCTCCCCTCCTTGGCCGAAGGCTGGTAGACTGCTGTGGAGGGCCTCAGTGGCTGCCACCTTTTGGGTCATTTGGAATGAAATCAGCGCCAGAATTTTCCGCATCCAACGGTCTACCATAGAAGTATTGACACACAATGATTAAATTCTCAATCATCTTCTGGGCCACCCACAGCAACCTTTTCAAAAACCTTTCCCACTCTGACTTTCTCCATAGCTGGGTTGGGCTACCATTTTGACCTTTAGACCCCACAGAATACCTCGTTCATTGTTTGAAGACCACCTGATGAAGGCCAAATCAAATTAAATTTCGATGGGTGCACTTTCAGCAACCCTGACCCAGCAGGTATAGGAGGGCTATTTCGCAACAAAGACAACACTACTCTATTCTCCTTCTCTCTCTCGATTGGGCATGGGCATTCATATTCCATCACCGCATAAGTAATAGCCCTTCAGGAAGGACTCAAGAAGTATGATCCTTCTTAGCGCCAATCCCTCAGTATCAAAGGCGACTCTGTGTTTCTCCTAGGCCCCAGGCTCAGCCTCCTGGCCTTGGAGACTCAATAATAATTTTGAAGAAATTACAGCTCAATGGGATCTCCCATTTCTCTTGGAGACACAATTGGAGAGAAGCTAATGGCGAACCGACACCCTCGCTAAGGCAGCCGCCTCACTTTCCCAAGCAATTTGCTTACCACGCAAGGAACCGTTTGAGCACACGTTCCCCCATTCAGCTTTGGTTCTTACTATTTTTTGTTGTTAATTTTGAATAAGGCACCTGCCTGTGGGTAGCCTATATTTTTGACTGGAACCCATTTGAGGGTGGCCAACCCCTTCCTTATGTTTCTCCCTTCGTACTTATCTTCATAGAGTTAACGTATTCAAAAAAAAAAAAAGACTAAGCATTTAATGGAGCGAGCAGTTGACAATCTAAGGCATGGTCGCCAAATCCTCGTCATAACACAATAAGGGTTAAAAAATGCCATCCATTATTATTACATACAAGTATAGAATATGACCATTTACTTTTGGTGCAAAGAGGTTATAACTACCACTAGCTGTTGGATGTCAAATCGGATGGCATGGAGACTACCATTAATGGGCGCAAAGTCCAAAAGAAAGCTTTTCGAGACCCATGACATACCCCTTGCTGTTGAATTTCACACCTTACAGAAAGGGTTAATTGTGATCTCCTCGTAATATAGGTAAATCGTCCTGTAGTATACAGTCCCTTATTTTCGAAAAATATATTTTGTGGCATGTTAGTAAGTTATACAAGGCATGCAGTGAAACTCTTATTGCATGACCATTTGAAACCAAGCACCAAACAACAGACGGCCAAGGAACAAAAGAAACTGTTAATCAGTTCAAATAAGTAAACGGAGAAAACCTTACCCAGGATGGCAGCAACAAAGGCACAGTTCTCGACATGGTTGGGCGAGGTCATTCCGCACTCGTCTATCATAACAAGTTATAAAGCATCCAGATAACCCGAGAAAAAAGAAAAACAATAAAGCCCCTGCATCAATGCAAGAATCAACATAAAACATTATATCAGAACCACCAAAGACAGGAGAGAAACAACGAGGCTAAAGAATAAAATGCCTCAAAAGCAGTCAAAGTTAGGAACTCGAGCATCACTGTCATATGCAAGATGCAATCCTATTTGTAGCACATGTCAGCTCATCAAGAAGGCCCTCGGAACCCAAGCCAAAGCCAGACAAAAGTCAACAACAGAAGGTCAGGGAGTCTTGAGGAGTTGCTAGCTGACTGTTTGAAACCTAAATGCCAGAATGGCATACAAAACCATAATTTAAATAAACCAAATATTGAATGGAACAATGTGCCTCAGTATGACTAGATGGATCTGATTTGTTTTTTTTTTTGAGGAAGTAGGTGGATCTGATTTGTTTTCATGGCAGAATATCAAAAATATTTAGTATAGCAGTTGTGTTCCTTTGGCTGAAATGGGTGCCAAGGGAGGTAGATAGGAGGCAGTAGTACAATAAATATACACCTGCAATTACTTGAGAAAAGTGGTCGTTATTAAGGGAATAAACAGGCAAGGACTTGTGTAAAACTTAAGATTTTTTGCCTAAAATTTCAATGATCATGCACTCATGCTCAATGGTTTCCATCACAGGAATTAGGAAGATCCATTACAGTGACTAGGAGCGGATCATAAAATCATCCATAGACTTCACTATCTACTATGGGCCATAACACCTAGGGCCCATTTGGGTGCCTAGAGAAGCCTGTCCTGGGGATAGGCTTTTCCTGGAATTGGCTTCTCCTGGAATTGGCTTGTCCCTCGAATAGGGGTGTCTGCTGTTTGGATAGCACCTAATAGGAAACATGGAAAATGCCTGTCCACTGTTTGGATTGCCTAGAAGATGTGAATCCATGGAAATTCAGTTGCAGTTTTAGTTTTTTACCCTACATTTAATTTTATACTAATTAAATTCTCACATTCATTACAAACTTCGATATTATTTTTACCCTACTAGAATACATTTTTTATAAATTATTTGACATAGCAAATGTATAATACAACCCTAAAGACATCATCATCTCCATTTATAGGCACATCACTAACCAAATCACTAAAGACATACAAAGGACTTGTCCCCATATCATCATAAAGCACACCAAGGCCTTCAAATGCCAAAGCAAGAGTATGCCAAGACGACACTTCCTGTGATGTAATAGGAACATAAGGGACACACATATAAGAGTATGTATCTATAACCAATTTTCTTGTATAAAAGGTATGCAGAAGCTCAAGCAAATGAACTAGGTTCAAGCAACTGAACAAATAATTTAGTGGATAATAAGTTCGCAGCTTTGTAAAAACCAACTAACTCAAAAGCTATACAGATGTCCAGCTTCCAGTAGACATATTATGGCCTTCTTAGGTATGTTGGGTCCGTTTGAAAGTACATAACTCCTCATCTCAAAGTTTTGCTTGCCTACATAAAATGTGTTGAAGCCTGTTTCTACTTTTTTTTACCATGGATTTTCTTTAGATTCATCATCAGATTACTTTGTACTACACTTTATTTCATGTTTCACTGCCAGTCCTCAATGGTTCTTCCCTAAATTGCCTGTGTTCAAAGGAAAAGCAAAAGTAACAGTTGCAGAGAGAAGCAAGCTTTCTCAGCGGTCTGTAATTTAGGCCTTCACAAAAAAGAGCTTCGTCGCAAAGAGAGAGACTTGCATAGAGGAGCAAGCTTTCGTCTTTTTTAGGGCTTCGTCACAGAGAGAGATTTTAGGGCTTCCTGGATTCTCTGTGATTAGGGCTTCTCTGGTGATTTAGGGCTTCTCAAGGGATTCTCTGTGAAGGCTTCATCGCAGAGAATGGGCTTTCTCTAGGCTTCGTCTCTGGTCTCTGTGAGGGCTTCGTCACAGGGTATGGCTTTTGTTTTGGGCGGACCTCAAAAACGTCTTGAGAAAATTACATTGGAGTGTAAAATTTCGAGTCCTCAGGGATTAGCTTATGCCAAAAAAAAAAAGGATTGGGCTATTCCACCTTTTTAGGTGGAATTAGCAAATCCACCTTTTTTAGGGGAAAAAATGGATAGGGTAATTCGTGGGACTATGTAATCCACGCCATATGTGCTACCCAAACGGTGGAAAAGGCCCGAAATGTTGGGTAACCTTCTTCCAAAGAGCCCAATCCAGGTTGCCAAACGGGCCCTTACGGTAGTTTTAGTATTTTTCATGGCATCCTCAACTTTGACCTTCACTTCCTGTGTGTGAGTTTTTGTGTGCATGTGCATGAATGTGCGTGCCTGTCATATAATATTTTGATTAAATTCAATCAACTGGCTATGGGAATAATGACTAACAATCAAAAAACAAATCATGACTCACAAAAAGAATTTATAGAGAAAAAAAACAGTGGGTTGACTCATATCCTGAGCTTAGAATGGAAGGAAACATCGCACCAAATATTACAGATCTTAAAATACTAAATAATAGTCACAAGCAAAACATTTGTTTCCACTATAGGGAACCAGAAAAATGAAATATGGTGATACGAAGATGTACTGAACAAAAGACAAACATTAATGAGGTCCTAATAACTGATAACTAAAATAAGCATGCATATGGATGGAAGTTCAGTAACTGCCACAAACAAGCAATTAGGAACTTAAATCACTTTTTTACTATAGGGCACCAGAAAGATGAAATACTTGGTTAGGAAGATGTACTGAACAAAAGACAAATGTTAATGAGGTAAGCATGCATATAGAAGTTCAGTAACAGCCACAAACTAGCAAATGGAAACTTAAATCACTTCAGCTTCAATAGTGCTGAAAATATCCTCCCTTTATGAAAAATGCATCATGCATTTGCATACTAGAAGCACAAACTATGCCAACAAAAGGGTGGCCTGATGTACAATCAAATATTAAGAGAGTATAATTTAGATTGGGTTTCCAAAAATTACCGCATATATAGTAAAAACTAACTTTACTATCAAAACCCCAGGCCAACCGTAGCCAATAGTTCTGATAATTGTCAATTAAATACACCAAGTAAGCCAATGAAGCAATTACCTGCAAGTAACAATACAAGAATGAATTGCTTCAGATAGAACCCAATTAAATTTAAAAACTTGAGGCAACTACCTTGTGTTGACAGCAAACAAACATCAAAAAGGAGCAAAAAATAGAAAAGAGCAAGATTCGTATAGTATCCAGACTCTCTAGCAAACTTGGATAATTGAGCCCAAGAAAATATCACTCCTTCAACAAAGAAATCATTGTATTACTCCGAGTTTGAACCATTGATTTCTTTCAAGCAAACCAGATGCATGCCACTACCAAAGCCCAAGGGACAATGACAATGCGTGTAATCACATATAAGTTATGCTTGAATGGAATGGTATACATGAGATGAAAGGTACCTTAACCAATAAACAAATTATATCTGATTAATATCATATCTGATTTATAGCATTGTGAATTAGTGACTCACAGTATAAAGCATACCTAAAAGCAAATGCCCTGAAGTCCCCAAACACTTTCTCATGAATAATGGTTTTTGAGAGCATTGATTTAAATCAAAAAGCTCAAAATATCGTCAAAGTGGTCTAACTCAAACCTTGATTTATAGGGTGTTATCTCCTCAGGATACATTAAAATCAACAAAAGGTTGGAAGGGGCCCTACAGCATTCTGTTGCAACATTCCTATCTTCGTAGGTTTTGAAGCTATTAAGCATCTTTCTGCCAATGAGAGGTTCACCAACCCAACTTCCAAAAAAAAATTTATTGAAGCAAGAGAGTGCTGACTGTGCAATTCATCCCTAGGTTTCAAAATGTAACTGAATTTTAAAAAACCATTTAAAGCAAAGAATCAATAACTTACAAGTTGGACAGCAGCAAAAATAAACATTATATCACGAGTAACAAAAAAGCGAAACTTCAATGTTCGCCACTTTCTATCAGCAGGAACATGCACTCTCAAGTGGTAAGGAGACTTGCAAGTTGTACAATGCGCAAAAGCAAAGCCTTCCTGCAGGAAATAAGACCATAAAGATCAACTCAGGTTATTAAAATCACATCTCCGGCACATTCGATTAAAAGAAATCATGAGAAAAAGCTAAAAATTAAACATAAGAAGAAAAGAGAAGGGGACGCAATAAAGCAAGAACTGTCAACAAGTGTGCCCAAGCCCGCACACACATTAATGAATTAGACTCAACACAACTTGAATCCATATTTTACACACACTTGCACACACATGCACATGCACAAACAATTAGGTGTATAGGTGAGTGTAGAAATGATGATGTGCTCCTCCAAAGGAACACCTATTGGTGCTACCCCACCTCATAAACCATATTTGAGGTGTGTGAAGAACCCAAGAATGACAAACATGAAGCAACACATGATTTTGAGTTCAAAACTATACCCTGTTAATGGAAGATTCAACAAGGAAGAAATTTTAAGTAATTTTAAGTAAAACTTAACTAATTAGAGCCCTACATAACAACCTAAGCTAAAATACACCTCCATTATGAAAGCATATCCCCTGAGAAAGAATTAAGCCTTGATATTTATCATACTAAAATAAAAAAGTAAGCAAATGAAATTATTGTACAATATATGGAAATACATGTGATATGTATGCGCTTGCACATACCTTTATGGCTCGCCAATGATCCAAGCACTCACGATGGACATACTTCGAAGTTCCTTTGCACTTACATGGGGCGATGAAATCTCTTCCTGGAGAAAAAATTGCCATATGTTTTAAACATCTTCAAAGGAGCAATGAAATATGCATAAACAGGCTCTTTTTTCATTATGATGTGCACATCCTTCCATTCCATCATATAGGATAAAGTCAAAGAACACGTAAAGTTAAAATGCATCCACCTTCCCTAAAACAGGAAAAAATGACTAGATCATGGAGAAAAGCGCTCCACAAGCCTTGAAAACATCATCGCCCAACAGTTACAACAATAGACCAACATGGTAATAAGTCCTCACTCACTAGCCAAATCAAGGTATGCTTCTAAGCAAAGAGACTAGCATCCATTGGAGAAGTAGCAAAATAAGTGATGTAGGGAAAAATAACAATAACAATAACAAATAATAAATAATAAATAATACAAATAAAAAGTTCAGAGATTAGACCCACTCTCTAGGTCTGTAAGGGAGCCCACCCCAAGATTTTTCCACAAGATCAAACTCTTTCTTTATTCTCCGATCACTATCTTTACAAAAAATGGACTTCTTCCCTTTAAATACAAACTAAAAAGAATAATAAATAAAAATAAAAAATTAAACTCCATCGCTCGCTTATCTCTTAAAAACAAGTTTAACATATCTTAACCAACCAAACATGCTAATCCCTACCTATATCCATCTTTTTAAAAATAAAAATAAAAAATAAACTTCCAATTCTACCCCTTGAATCTCTACAGCTAAAAAAGACAAGAATAACACTAAAGAAAACTAAAAATTCAAATAACATATTTTCTAAGTCCTAGAAAATATGAATATAAAAGTATTAAAAATTTATTTTTTATTTGCATGATTCTCTCAAGATTGCAAGAAGCTCAACCTCGAGCTCATTGAACTCAAATATTTTAGAGGTCTTCTAAAAAGTTAATCATGCAGTCCCAACTTTCTTTTGGGTATTTTTTCTTATCCAAATAAACAATTGATCTAACACAATCTGTAGTGAAACTCTGAGATACAAAACCCTGGAATACCAAACTGAATCTTGATTTATCCTTCAGGCTCACAGGGTTGGATTTCAGACATTACATCCCACATGTCTCCTTCTTTATCATTGATTTTCAAAACTTCTTGTGATTTTGGGTAATTGACGTCTTCTTTTCCATTGAGATCTACCCCTTCATGTTCATTTTACTCTTGTTGTAATCTACCAAGTCGATCTTGTAGATATTGTCGTATCACCTTGCGAAGGTCTTCCATATGTCTCTGAAATTGGTGATCCAATTGCTCAAGTATTTGATCAAATCGATCCAAACACTTCATGTGTATGGATCTTTGATTTCAAGGTTCTAGTACCAACTAATGCAAGGAAAAATAATAATAAACACAAATAAAAAATACAAATAAAAGTTGAGAGATTATACCCTCTCTGGGTTTGCAAAGGAGTCCACTCCAAAATCTTTTCACAAGATCAAACTCTTTCTTTATTCTTCAATCACTCTCTTTACAAAAAAGGGACCTCTTCCCTTTAAATACAAACTAAAAGGCATAATAAATAAAAATAAAATGAAAATAGAAAAATAAACTCTTTCTATACCAATTTGATGCTGAGGAAAATTAATAATAAAATAAAAAAATAAAAAATTGAGTGATTATACCCTCTCTGGGTTTGCAAGGGAGTCCACCCCAATATCTTTTCACAATATTAAACTCTTTCTCTATTCTCCAATAACCCTTATCTCTTAAAAACAAGTATAATATATCCTAACCAACCCAACCAGACTAATCCCTATCCATATCCATCTATAAAAAAAACTAACTAAACTAAACTTCTAATTCTACCCCTTAAATCTGTACAACTAAAAAATATGAGAATAACCCTAAAGAAAAATAAAAATCCAAATAACATATTTTCTAAGTCCTAGAAAATATAAACATTAAAACATTTAGAACAATTTATTTTTTTATTTGCATCAGAAGATCCGTTGTCCTCAAGGAATGCTCAAATAAGTAAATGCTTATCAATTCATCAACGTGGCCAATAAAACTATTCCTGATGACATTTTAGCTCTGAAAGGAAAAATAGATTCTACTAATATAAAATTTCAAAAAAATAAAATAAATAAATAAATAAATTTTTTGCATTTTGAGAAAGTTTGCTTATCTATATTAGCTCGCAATGCTTCCACTAACTCTCAGACAATTCTTCATTGTATGGGTGTAACATCACAACCTCACCTACATGTAAATGCTGCAGAAAATAACGATCTTTGGAAGAAATCAAAGATGTTCGCCAAATAGCTAGATAAAAATTTTGCAAAGTTAATGACAGAAAGAAGAATGTTGGTCCAATTTTGTTATAACCTATATCTATATAATTTTTAAAAGTCAACAACAATTGGTCAACATTAGCATCTTACTGAATCCAATATCAACCACACTATAATTTAGAGTTTTATCGTCCAAAGAATACTGATTTCATTGATTCATGTTGGTTTGATTGTTGTAATAGAGGATTTTTGTCAATTGATAGGTCATTATGGCAATTTTATGAAGCAATGATACTTTATGAGGATAAGATTCATAGCAATATACATCTATATAAATGTTCAACATAATTTCGCAAACATCAAAAGAAGAAGCCCCTATCAGATCATTTAAAAAATAACAATAAATGTAATGCATGTATAATGCCCACAACCTGGCAGTATGGAGGTCCATGATTAGTCGACATGGAAAGCTTCTTCTTTTTTTTGACATGTAAAGTGATGTGCACTAGCGAGATTCAAATCCAAAATTAGTCTACATAGAAAGTTGCAGGTTCAAGTCGATCAATCTCGCATTTGGGAGTTTGCAGATCAAAGTGCCACAAACAAGTGCAGTCATTCAGAGCGTGGCAGTGGCAGATAAATTACCTGCACCTGATTTAATTAATTTACAAACATCAAATGCCAATAAATTTGCCAGTGTGGTGAGTTTGCTACCAACTTCGAAGGATGGTGAACTCTAACCAGATAAAACCAGATAAATAATAAGCAAGTAATTTAATAATTTCACAGGTATTCTGACTATGCCACCACGTTCACTTCCAGTGAGAAACTAAATCAAGCAGAATTGCTCATCTCATATGTACATTTTTTTTTATGCTGTTAACTGTTCTCATATGTACAATTTAAAACCAAATTTTCGTACCTACCCCATGAAATGGAAGTTAAAAAAACTTAACTAGGTTTTAGGTCAAACAATCAGTAAACAATTACAATTTCAACACAATATCTATCAAACTTCCAATGGGAAACCATAAAATTCCCAATAAATAAGAACATTAGATAAACCAATAAGAAAAACACTATAACTACTCATAAAAAGGGAAAATATGATTGCGAGTACCATCAGTTTCGAGGCAAATTCTGCATTGATTTTGTTCTCCAGGTCCAGCTTCGAGGTCAATCGAGTCCCTCTCCATTTGAATTCCAGATTCAGGGAGAACAGGTGGAGATATGAGAGGAGAAGAACTCAAAGGATCCGACATTGTTTTGCAGAAATCGCAAAAAATCAAAGTTTTAGAAGGGGCAAAAAAGAGAAGTTTTACAGTAATTCGATAGAATTACCTTCTGCAGAGGCCCAAATAAACCCTAGCAAAGACAGGTGGAGATATGAGAGGATAAGAAATCAAAGCATCGGCCATTTTTTGTTGCAAAATTTTGCAGCAAACAATCTAAAAGAGGAACAGGGGAAAATTACGTTGATTTTAATGAATTATCGGCTGGTAAAGACCAGAGAAACCCGAGCAAAGGCTATGCAAACCTAGCCATGGGTTTCTCTCTGTCTCGTCTCCCCTCTCTCTCTTCTTTGTAAAACTGATGAAATGACCGTCGAGGAACAAAGAGTGAGAAATACCCCCTAAATATATGTGGACTTCTATCTTGTCTAAAAGTCCTGTGATATAATATAACTTACCCCAAAAAAACACAAAGTCCTGTGATATGAACAGTAAACTGCGATAAATTGGAAGAAACGTCGTTGGGATCGTCAACCCCTCCCAATCAAACAATTAAAAGTAAAACACTATTTATTTTTAATGCAAGGTGGTTATAATTCTTCATATCCGTGGGATTTTAAATCAAGTGGTAATAAGTGTGTTATTGATTAAGTTAAAAGTTTAAAATAAATTATTTCTCAAACTTCATCAAATTTGATATTTAAACGCGAGGAATGACCTTGCCTCCTTGTAATAATAGTAAATGGCCTCATACTATACAATTCCAAATTCCCAATACAAGATGTAGTTTTTGGTGGCAACTTACTGGATATCCTACGATGACTTAAAAAAAAATTTACCCTTTTGATGCTAAATGTTAAAGTTTCAAATCTATAGACATTTTAAAATCTTAAAAATTAGGCGATCCATATAACATGGTAGAAGATAACCTATTTTTACAACTTGAAATTCTTTTTTGTTTTCATATCCATTCATATTGATGTCAAGATGATCAATTCAAAGGTTTTTTAGCCTCTGAACAACCTTGTCCTATGGGTTTTTTATATGTACCTTATTTCTATAATATAAAGTGGGCACCTTATATAAACATTTTTTCATTATTTTATATATACAGATTGGTTATTTTTAAAAATATTATTTCAATCACTTACCCAAAAAATATTATTATTTTTTCAATATGGTTCCTGATTTCAAAGGTATAATTGGGTCGGATGGAGTTAGAACGGTTTCTACTTGGACCGGGACCGCTGGGTCTGTCACACCCCAAGAAATTTCAATACAAATATTCTTGAGATGTGACAATCCAAAACATATATACATCTCTTAATAGGACAAATTTACAGTGGCGAGGTCGTACAAAGTAAATAAAGAAAGCTAGCACAACAACAACATCTTCCAAGGTTGATCTTGACTAGCACTTAAAATGAATCCGCAGTTATCCTGAAAAATATTTACCATAGTTTGATGAGTTTGGCTACTCAGTAAGTGATCATCATAATCCTAAAAATAATCATGATTGAGAGATATCAATATTTTCAAAAAGGAGATCTATTAACAGAAATACATCAACAGTTTCACTTTCAATAAATGCATAATTAAGTATAATCCAAATAATTGAAATGCATATAACACTTTAGTGGCAATGCATAATTCAAAAGATTTCACAAAATACCCTACTGGCGTCCCAAGTAGGTCACCTATATACCCCATCAGCGTCCTGATGGGTCCACTTAATCCTTATCGGCGTCTCAAATATGTCCACTTAATCCCTGCAGGTCCACTTATATCTCACAGGCATACCGGATGAGTCCACTTAATCCCTACAGACGTCCCGGATAGGTCCACTTATACCTCACCGACGAACCGGATGAGTCCACTTGCATACTTAAATTATTTCTAAATCTCTTTCAACATTCGAAAGCAACAAATATCATGTACTCAACATATCACTAAAATCATTAATATGAATTTCACTGAAACCATTAATAACAGTCACTTTCAATAACATTTCAAAAATAACCAATCCAATATTTTGGGCTCAAATTTAGAAAGGTAGCAGTTCGTAAAGACATTCTAACATAATTGCCAGTTTAATATGTATAAAAAAACTCTTATAGAATTTCAAGAATACGGAATTATCACAATTTATGAGATGTCAATTTGTAATTAAACATTTCACAATAATGCTATAATCAATTGTAAAAATATCAATTTTCAAATAATAAGACAGTCATTGCACATGAAATTTACAATGTCTAAATATTAAAAAAAAGTAGAAAGAAATCTCACAATTTTACTAACAGCAGAAATATCATATTTATTTCTAAAATTTTCTAACAATAAACAAGAAAAATAAATAAATAAATTTATTTCTAAGAATTTACAGCATTTAAAATTTATAATATTATAATTTTATTAAAAAATTTATTTTTCAAAATAATGAGGTCACTTGCACATAAAATTTATTGCGCCTAAAATTAACGATAATAAGCATAAATAATTATTTCATTTCATTTTTAAAAAGAACGGATTATTTTTCAAGATAATGAAGTCACTTACACACAAAACTTATAAAATAAAGATCCTGGACGGAAATATCACTATTTATTAAAAACAGACTATTTTTCAAGAAGACGATGTCACTTACACACAAATATTTGAGAAGGAGCTTCCGATAAAAATTCAGCTAGAGAGAGAAGTTCACTGTGTTTCGATCAGAGAGAAAAATCTCACAAGTTTTCTAAGGTAGGAGTCCTCACCTCTCTGAATTTAAATTCTACTAATATATTATTTTATTCTTTTATTACGTTACAGGTGTGAGCGTTAGCTTACGCTTTAAACGCCTAAAGCCCACGTCTTTTAGTGGACGTGGCAAGAGTAAGGAAGCAACAAAGCTTTTAAACCAAAAGCTTTTAAAAGTAACGATGGTCCCTAAGGGCCATCATGTTCAAACGAATTGTCATATATTTAAAAGTTTTTTTTTTTTTTTTAAAGTTTAAGATTGTTACATTCTTCCCCCTTAAAGAAATTTAGTCATTTAAATTTATGTACATGATTACTGAAAAAGATAGGGATATTTTTTTCTGATATCGTCTTCTCGTTCCCAAGTCGACTCTTCTCTTGAATAGTACTGCCATAATACACGGACTAAAGGAATCTCCTTCTTGTACAACACTTGCACCCTTCTATCCAGTATCAAAATTGACTGCTCAATGAAGGATAGGTCTTTCCTGATCGGTAAAGGTTCATATTTCAATATATGAGATGGGTCGGGCTGATATTTTCGTAATGAATATACATGACAGACATTATGGACATTTGTCAATTCGAGTGGTAAGGCAAGTCTATAAGCGACACCTCCAATTCTTTCCAAGATTTCAAATGGTCTGATATAGCGTGGGCTCAGCTTTCCTTTCTTGCCGAATCTCATAATGCCTTTTATTGGTGAGATTTTTAGGAAAACTCGATCACCTTCCTCAAATTCAAGATCTCTCCGTCGATTATCGGCATAACTCTTTTACCGACTCTGAGCTGTCTTGAGCTTTTCACGAATTAATGCTATTTTATATGTGGTTATCTGGACAATTTCTGGCCCCAAAAGCTTTATTTCACCAACTTCGTCCCAACAGATGGCTGATCTGCATTTCCTTTCATACAGGGCTTTATATGGTGCCATCTGAATACTGACTTGGAAGCTATTATTATAAGCAAACTCAATCAGGGGTAAATGGTCTTCCCAGTTTCCTGTAAAGTCAATAACACAGGCCCTTAGCATATCTTCCAAAGTTTGGATGGTCCTCTCCTATTGTCCATCAGTTTGGGGATGAAAGGCAGTGCTAAAGGTGAGTCTCGTTCCCATGGTTGACTATAGCCTAGCCCAAAATTTAGAAGTAAATCGAGTATCCTTGTCCGATACAATACTGACCGAATTTCCATGCAACCGCACTATTTTCTTAATGTCCAACTGGGCTAGTCGATCCAAAGTGTATGTCGTGCGAATTAACAGAAAATGGTAGCTTTGGCCAGCCGGTCTACAATGACCCAAATGCTATCATGTCTTCAATTTGTTCTAGGCAAGCCAGAGATAAAATCCATAGAGATGTGCTTCCACTTCCACTCTGGCACGGGTAAAGACTGCAACAACCTAACGGGCCTTTGATGTTTAGCTTTTACTCGCTGGCATGTTAAGCACTTAGATACAAATAATGCTACCTCTTTTTTCATATTATTCCACTAACAGGTTTTTTTCAGGTCTTGATACATTTTAATACTTCCAGGATGTATCGTATAACGAGAGTGATGTGCTTCTTCCAAAATAGCTTTCTTCACACTCTCATCATTCGAGACACAAACCCGACCTTTGAATCTTAGCAAATCCTAACTATATATCGAGAATTCTTCCAAAATAGCTTTCTTCACACTCTCATCATTCGGGACACAAACCCGACCTTTGAATCTTAACAAATCCTCACTACATATAGAGAATTCATCTCTTTTTCCTTACTTCACTTATTCTATAATTGTTATAAGCTAAGGGTCTTTCTTTTGTGTTGATCGGATCTGTTGGATTAATTGAGGTTCTGCCTTAATGTTGGCAATCATACTTACCACACCATTAATGGACGGAGTCGGATGCCAATCCACTATTTCCTCTAACAATCTTATTTCTTGGATCATTAGATGAGCTAAGACTCCCGTAGATTTTCTATTTAGAGCGTCAGCCACAACGTTAGCTTTTCCTGAATGATAATGGATTGTACAATCATAATCTTTTAATAAATCCATCCATCTTATCTGTCGCATATTCAAATCCTTCTGAGATAAGAGGTATTTCAAGCTCTTATGATCTGTGTATATTTCGAATTGCTCACCATATAGATAATCCCTCCACATTTTCAAAGCGAATACTATTGCAGCCCGCTCCAAGTCATGAATTGGATATTTTTTTCTCATATTCTTTCAACTGTTTGGATGTATGTGCCACTACCTTCCCATATTGCATTCATACACAACCCAAGCTTTTATATGAAGCATCATTATAAATCACAAATCTCACACTCCCCTCAATAATAGTTAAAATAGGTGCTGAAGTTAATCGAACTTTTAGTTCTTGAAAACTCTCATCACATTCACTTGTCCACTCAAATTTGACATTTTTCTGTGTCAATCGAGTCAATGGGGTTGCGATTCGAGAAAATCCTTTTATAAATTTTCTGTAATATCCTGCCAACCCTAAAAAGCTTCGAACTTCAGTCACATTACTTGGTTGTTTCCAATTAACAATGGCTTCAACCTTTGAGAGATCAACTGATAAACATTCATTCGATATGACTTATCCTAAAAATGTCACTTGTTCAAGCCAAAATTCACATTTACTAAGTTTGGCATACAATTT